AAATTAAACAAAACAGTTTAGTGTATTATCCGGAAAAAAATCTAGTTGCACAGAACATAATAATTAAATTTTTAACAAGAGGTCAAGATGTCAAATCTATTAAAATTTTGAGCAGATTGCTGGCATTATTTGGTAATGATACCCTCCCTGCCCGAGAGGTCAAGTATGCAAATGTCACAAGTTATTTAAACAAGGCCGTTAATAAATGGAATATTTGTCTCATGTGCTCTTCGACCAAGAGCGAGTTTTATGACAGAGACGACAGGAGTGTAATGATAGACCTTATTCAGAATGACCGACGAAGGAAAGTTCGAAAACTTAGTGCGATGACAAAAGATGAGTTATGGAAGTATGCAAAGCATAATTAATGACTATTTGGAATATCGAAAAGTCTCAGCGGGGTGGCTACCTAGAATTTCAAACAATAAACAAAAAGATGCCAGAAAAGACATTTGTCAAAAGCCGAAGTAACACAACAAAAGTTACAGACATTTCCCTGGGTTACAGTTAGTCATCCTCTATTTAGTCTGGATTCGTAATTTTCAGATTACCGTTTATTTGGGCCCCTTAAATAAACTTACTGAAAACTTAAAAAACTCGGAAGTTTCAACACTCACTACAATAGTTGATAGAATCAATCACTTTAAAAACTATACTACAACGAATCAAATGGTATAAAATATTATTACAATTAAAGGGAAAAATATAATGTCATTTATTGATTCGTAGAATCAGGTCATTAAATATTACCCAACAAATTAGTTGATAGAATGAAAGAAACAAACTTTTGAACTTGAACGACATGAAACCGTTTATGTGCTCGTTACTTAGGAAAAATGGGGAAAACACTTGATTCTTCTGCACTTTAACTGAGCACTTCAGTTATTCTGCAAATTATCTTGATAGAGATTCTCGACTCCGAGATCTTAGTTTTCTTAATGTTAGAAAAATTAAGAAGGGGAAGACAAAACTAATCCATTGAAATACAATTATTATAGTATTGCTCTTACGACATTAAAATGTAATGATTGCAATTTAATGATCTTTAATTTTCCCTCAGGATATCAAGAAAAATGAGCAAGAAGCCTTGTAAAGACCTAAAAGTCATTAATGGTAAGGTAAGGTAACTATAGGTAAGTTTTACTAGCTTAAAAAATATGAGGCTCTAGTTATTGAAGAAATGGTATGATACTGTTCTAAAGGTAAGCTTAGTAATAATACTTAATTATAAGGTAAGTTATTTATTTATCCTGAACTATATTCAAAGTAATCGTATAGCTAATCTAATATTGCGCTTTTTGTGCGGGTAAAAATTTTTTATAAAAAAGCGCAAAATTTGGTCCGGGTTCTTTTTTTCCGGTTCGTAGATTTTTGGGTAATTCGAGGGATCCCGTCACACATAAAATCCCGCTGGTAAAATCGCAATCCTACGTTCATCTTAGATTACATGCGACGAAATTCGGTCGTTCCGTCATCTGATTGCGTTTACGTTTCCATACTTTTGTTTCTTTTTTTCTGTCTTTTCCATTTTTCATTGTGTTCTAAGACTTTTCCCACTTTGTTTGACCATGTTTTTTAACATTTTTCTGAATTCTTTTTTTCCAATTTGCCTTTTTCACGTTTTATTTAATATTGTTCATTTTTTTGTTTATTTTCTAAATTTTTTTCCAATGATGCATTTTAATTTTTTTTTTTACAATTTCTCCATTATGTTTTTCTTCTATTTTTTCCCATTGCGTGATTGTTATATTTTATCCTTCGTGTTTTTTCCTACATTTTTTTTCATTGCTTTCTAATTTTTATCCATTGTTTTTTTCCAGTTGTGCTTTCTCTATCTTTTCCATTGTGTTTTTCCAATTTTTTCCATTGTGTTTTTCCAATTTTTTCCATTGTGTTTTTCAAATTTTTCCATTGTGTTTTTCAAATTTTTTCCATTCAGTTTTTCAAATTTTTTTCATTGTGTTTTTCAAATTTTTCCTTTGTGTTTTTCTAATTTTTTCCGTTGTGTTTTTGTATTTTTTCCAATGTGTTTTTCGATTTTTTCCAGCGTATTTTTATCATTCTGTTTTTATATTTTTATTTTTTGGATTGTGTTCCTCCGATTTTTCCAGTGTGCTTTTTCTAATTTTCATGGTGTTTTTTCCATATTTTTCAATTGAGTTTTTCCAATTTTTCCATTGCTGTTTTTCAGATGAGTTTTTTTTTTTCATTTTGTTTTTTAAATTTTTTACAGTGCTTTTTTATTTTTTTTTTCATTGTGTTTTTCTTTCCAGAGTGATTTTTTTTCTTTCAATTTTTCCCTTGTGTTTTTTCCATTGAGTTTCATTTTCCAATTTTTGAGATTGATACTGATTTTCCAATTTTTGATATTTTCCATTGTGCGAATCTTATACTTTTTCCTTCGTAATTTTTTCTATATTTTTCTTCAATGCTTTCTATTTTTCTTCCATTTTATTTTTTTTTTCTTTTCGTTTCCATTGTGTCTACTAATTCTGATTTTTCCATTGTGCTTCCTCCATTTTTTCTCAGTATTTTTTTTTTTTCATTTTGTTTTTAAATTTTTAGTGTCTTTTTTTTTATTTTTCCATTGTGCTTTTTAATTTTTTCTCGAAGGATTTTTTCTTTCATTTTTTCCATTTTGTTTTTTCCGTTTGAATTTCATTTTCCAATTTTTTATATTGATTTTTTAATATTGNAAATATTATTACAATTAAAGGGAAAAATATAATGTCATTTATTGATTTTTAGAATCAGGTCATTAAATATTAGCCAACAAATTAGTTGATAGAATGAAAGAAACAAACTTTTGAACTTGAACGACATGAAGCCGTTTATGTGCTCGTTACTTAGGAAAAATGGGGAAAACACTTGATTCTTCTGCACTTTAACTGAGCACTTCAGTTATTCTGCAAATTATCTTGATAGAGATTCTCGACTCCGAGATCTTAGTTTTCCTAATGTTAGAAAAATTAAGAAGGGGAAGACAAAACTAATCCATTGAAATACAATTATTATATTGCTCTTACGACATTAAAATGTAATGATTGCAATTTAATGATCTTTAATTTTCCCTCAGGATATCAAGAAAAATGAGCAAGAAGCCTTGTAAAGACCTAAAAGTCATTAATGGTAAGGTAAGGTAACTATAGGTAAGTTTTACTAGCTTAAAAAATATGAGGCTCTAGTTATTGAAGAAATGGTATGATACTGTTCTAAAGGTAAGCTTAGTAATAATACTTAATTATAAGGTAAGTTATTTATTTATCCTGAACTATATTCAAAGTAATCGTATAGCTAATCTAATATTGCGCTTTTTGTGCGGGTAAAAATTTTTTATAAAAAAGCGCAAAATTTGGTCCGGGTTCTTTTTTTCCGGTTTGTAGATTTTTGGGTAGTTCGAGGGATCCCGTCACACATCCCGCTGGTAAAATCGCAAACCTACGTTCGCCTTAGATTACATGCGACGAAATTCGGTCGTTCCGTCATCTGATTGCGTTTGCGTTTCCATACTTTTGCTTCTTTTTTTCTGTCTTTTCCATTTTTCATTGTGTTCTAAGACTTTTCCCACTTTGTTTGACCAAGTTTTTTAACATTTTTCTGAATTCTTTTTTTCCAATTTGCCTTTTCCACGTTTTATTTAATATTGTTCATTTTTTTGTTTATTTTCTAAATTTTTTTCCAACGATGCATTTTAATTTTTTTTTTTACAATTTCTCCATTATGTTTTTCTTCTATTTTTTCCCATTGCGTGATTGTTATATTTTATCCTTCGTGTTTTTTTCTACATTTTTTTTCATTGCTTTCTAATTTTTATCCATTGTTTTTTTCCCATTGTGCTTTCTCTATCTTTTCCATTGTGTTTTTCAAATTTTTTCCATTGTGTTTTTCAAATTTTTCCCATTCTGTTTTTCAAATTTTTTCCATTGTGTTTTTCAAATTTTTCCATTGTGTTTTTCTAATTTTTTCCGTTGTGTTTTTGTATTTTTTCCAATATGTTTTTCGATTTTTTCCAGCGTATTTTTATCATTCTGTTTTTTTATTTTTATTTTTTCCATTGTGTTCCTCCGATTTTTCCAGTGTGCTTTTTCTAATTTTCATGGTGTTTTTTCCATATTTTTCAATTGAGTTTTTCCAATTTTTCCATTGCTGTTTTTCAGATGAGTTTTTTTTTTCATTTTGTTTTTTAAATTTTTTACAGTGTTTTTTTATTTTTTTTTTTGCATTGTTTTTTTTTTCCAGAGTGATTTTTTTTTTCCTTTCAATTTTTCCCTTGTGTTTTTTCCATTGAGTTTCATTTTCCAATTTTTGATTGTGAATTTTTGAGATTGATACTGATTTTCCAATTTTTGATATTTTCCATTGTGCGAATTTTATACTTTTTCCTTTCTTATTTTTTTCTTTATTTTTCTTCAATGCTCTCAATTTTTTTTTTTCATTTAATTTTTTTTTTCTTTTCGTTTCCATTGTGTCTACTAATTCTGATTTTTCCATTGTGCTTCCTCCATTTTTTCTCAGTGCTTTTTTTTTTTTCCATTTTGTTTTTAAATTTTTAGTGTCTTTTTTCTATTTTTCCATTGTGCTTTTTAATTTTTTCTCGAAGGATTTTTTCTTTCATTTTTTCCATTTTGTTTTTTCCGTTTGATTTTCATTTTCCAATTTTTTATATTGATTTTTTAATATTGTTGTTGATTTTCCAATTTTTGATATCTTCCAGAGTGTGATTCTTATATTTTTTTCTTCGTATTTTTTTCTAAATTTTCCTTCAATGCTATCTAATTTTTTTTCATTGTTATTTTCTTTTTCGGATTTTTCCATTGTGTTTACTAACTTCTGCTATTTCCATTTTTCCGTTGAGCTTTCTCTATTCTTTCCATTGTGTTTCTATTCTGTTTTTTTCTTCCTCAATTTTTTTTCTCCATTTTTTTCCAGGAATTTCCAGTGTATTTTTTCTATTTTCCATTGCGTTTTTCTGATTTTTCAATTTTTTTTTCAGTGTGTTCTTTACATTTCTATTTTTTCCATCATCAGTCATTTTCCATTTTCAGTGTGATTCAATCAGTTCTGTCAGTGTAATTTCCATTGGTATTTTCTCGCTGCGTTTTTTATTTTGTGTGTGTTCTCTATTGGTTTTTTTCGGTGTGTTTTCAGTTGATTTTTTATCAGTGTGTTTTCCATTGGTTTTTTTTTAATGTGTTTAACTGTTATTTCCATTTTTTGCGTTGTGTTTTCCTTACTATTCGGTGTGTTTTCAATTCATATTTTAAGGTATTTTCCACTGGTTTTCTCTCTGTATTTTTATATTTTTTTCCAGTGTGTTCAGCTTTTTTTGGGTGTTTTCCATCATCCATTTTTTTCGCAATGCTTTGTTTTACAGTTTCTTCTCATTTTTGTTTAAATTTTAACTTTCTATTTTTTATTACTACTGATAAATTCCATCCGTGACTTTTGTAGTGGTGTTTTTTATTATTTTTCATTTTTCAGTTTTTTCATGTTTTTTTTTTATTTCTAATTTTCAAGTTTTTTTCCCCTCAAATTTTCAAGTTATTATTTTCATTACTTATCAATTTTTCTTCCTCTTTTCGTTGTCTTTTAAGTTCTAGTTTTTTACTATGTATTTACCTTTTTTTTGTTCTTTATACTTCAAGTGTCTGGTCATGTTTTGTCACCCCATTTCGTACTTTCTTCTTTTTTAATAGTCTCATTGCTTTCCAACGCATATCAAGTTTATTTATTTATTGTTTCAAATTATTGCCGAATGTGTCAATAAGATATTTCATTGAATGTGTCAATATGAGTATGTCTTATAATTTTTTATCAGTGTATTCAGTTTTATTTTCCAATTCTTGATCCAGTTTTTTCGATTCATAACATGCATGCCTCGTGCAACCGTTCATTCAACTCGTGCTTTGACTTCTTGTTTTTTGTACTTTTCTTCATTATTTTTACAAGTGACAAATTCCCCATTCCATGTGTTTGTCTTTTCGTTTTTCCATTGGTTTCCGGTTTTTTTTTTAGTTTTTCAGTTTTTTTTATACTTTTTTCATTTAGCTTTTCATTCAATGTGTCTACCAAATTTTTTCCGAATTAATTTTCATTTTGTTTTCTAGTGTTTATCTAATATGTTTCACGGCACTTTATTCAATTTCTTTCAAATTTTTTCCCTCCAATGTGATCATAACGGTTTTCAGTCATAACTTTAATAGATTCAAATATTCATATCACATTTTCTCTTCAATTCATTTTCATGTTTCCAGTGAGCAGAAAAGAACGGTTTATTTTTAATTCTTATTTAATATATTTCAGCTTTTAAGGATTTTCTCGTTTTCAGAAGTGAACTTCATGCTATCAACAGGGGTCTGTAATTATTTATGCACAATGACCTTTGTTTAGAAGACCTTTGGATACTCACTGATAGCCGCAGCTTCCTGCAAAATCTCAAAAACAGAACCAGTATTGTCGGCAAGACCAGTATTTCCATCCTAAACTAATTAAAACTCTTGTCCCTTCAGCATAATATTCACCTGCAGTGGATTCCTTCTCACGTTGGTCTCTATAGCAACGACTTAGCGGATAGACTGGATAAAGAGGATTGCAGCCTACCACACCCTACCTCTTCTGATCTCACCTATCTTGAACTTTACTCCCTAAAGAAATCCCAGCTTCTCAGGGACTGGCTGATTCCTCCCACCCACAATTGGTATAAAGGAAATAATCTTGGAGTTTCTATGACTCTTCCCTTTGAAAGGAGAGTCTGTACCCTCCCGCCTAGCTACTGGTCATCTAAAGGGTTTACTATTTTCCCAAGGAACTAAAACCTACTCCCTCTGCCGTCAATGCCATCTACACCGAGCTTCCGCCGATCATATCCTGGACTGTCTTGGTCTTCTCTGGGAAGACATCTACTCTACTCCTCTTTTGGTCTTCGAATTCTTTGAATCATTGCCTGAATCATTTTCTTTGAGCAGATCAAGAGAAACTGTTGCTTTTGAAGGACAAACACTGTAAGTAAAACGTTGCATTTTTCTTTTTCTTTCTTAACTGTTTAATGTATTGCAATTCTGAAATTTTAAACGGCAGACGATTCTTCCGCCCGAAATGAATATTCTGCGTTCAGCAGTATAGGCTAAATACTCGTATCAAATATTTGGATGTTGCATCGCTAATTTAGTAGCTGCAATTGCTGTTTATTCTTTAAAATTTTATTTTTTTAATTATAATTTTACAGTGTTGAGTATAATCTTGTACGTCTTTACAATTTAAAAACTCCTTGAAAAAGTTCTTTTGCAATAACGGATCCTATTTGCGCAAATTCACAAAAGCGGACCCTGGTTGAAAGAATGTGACTTAACGCTTATTTTATATTCACAAAGTACGAGTAATTTTTTCACAATTTTACAAAAATAGACCTTTTACAAAATGTCTGAACAGACCCCTGCTAATATATCATGACTTATTTATACTATGAATATTTCAAACGCATCTCGTATGTAAATAATGTGTAAATTTGGTTTAAAGTAAAAAATAAGCCCCAAGACAGTTCCTACAGTCTTCAGGTCATTTTTCTAGGTCATAATGTAGCTAAACCTTCTTTTTAATTTAAGTAAAATAAGGATAGAAGAATTATGAAAAATTTCGCAAATATTTATGTTATGTGAGAAATTTTAACTATCACAGACTGTTAATTTTCGCTAATTTTTATACCATCTGAAAAATTTTAAGCATCGCGGAATATTAAAATTTTAAGTAAAATAGGGTTAGAGGAAGAATGAAAATTTTTTCAAATTTTTTATATAAAATTAGAAATTTTAACTATCACGGAAAGTTAACATTTTGAGTAAAATAGGGATACAGGAATTTTGAAAAATTTAGCAAATTTTTATATTATGTGAGAAATTTTAGCTATCAGGAATGTTAACAATATCAGTAAAATAGGGATTCGCAAATTTTTATATGAACGGAGAAATTTAAACTATCATGGAAAGTAAACAATTTAAGTAAAATAGGGATCGAAGAATTACAAAAATTTTCACTGATTTTTGTATGAAAGGCAAAATTTTAACTATCACGGTTTGTTAACAATTTAAGTAAAATTTGGATATAAGAATTATTAAACATTTTCGCTAATTTTTGTATGGCATGAGAAATTTTAAATATCATGAAATGTCAAATTCAAATAAAAAAGATGTAGAAGATTTATGCAAAGTACCGCAAATTTTTATATGAAATGAGAAATTTTAACTATCACGGAATGTTAACAAAATAAATAAATTGAGATAGTAGAATTTTGAAATTTTTTTCACGAAATGAGAAGTTTTAACTATCACTAAATGTTAACAATTTAAATAAAATACAAATATTAGAATTATGAAAATTTTCGCAATTTTTATTTGAATATAGAAATTGTAACTCTCACGGAATGTTAACAATTTAAATAAAATACGGATATTAGAATTATGAAAATTTTCTCAAATTTTTGTTTGAAATGAGAAATTTTAACTCTTACGGAATGTTAACAATGTAAGTACAAGAAGGATAGTAGAAGTATGAAATTTTCTCAATTTCATTTTTAGTGTGAGAAATTTTAACTATCACGGTATATTTAAAATTTAAGTAAAATAGAGAGAGAAGAATTAGGTAAATTTTCGCAAATGTTTATATTATATTATATGAGAAATTTTAGCTATAACGGGATGTTTTCAATTTAAGCAAAATAGGCATATAAGAATTAGGAAAATTTTTATCTGTTTTAGCCTTAATTTCTTTTGATGTATAAGTAACGAAAATGCTTACTGGTTGAACAATTTAAATATTTGTTTTCTTGTTCGAAAGTTAGCTCTTTATGAAACAATACCATGATAGGCTCTTCTTTTTTTTTTAAAGGGATTTTAAGAAACCTTTGGACCAACAATTTTCTGCTATGGGCTACGTATGCAAAAAAAAATTTAATTGGTTTCTAGGTCTAACGGTGTTTAAAACTTGATTTATCTTTAGTTTTATTTAGTTTAAAGGTTCAGCACTATTTATTGGGACTAACGTGTGCTGAAAAATTTATTCAGTAGAACTAAAGTTTGACGGCAAAATTCAAACTCTCGAACTCAAAAGTTAGGTTTGACTTTTTTGGAGGATAGGCTAACAGAAATATTTTTTTTTATCTTAATGATTTCCTACTTCGAGTTAACCACTGAAGAGAAAATTGTAATACTTCTCTTTTGTCATAAATTAACTAAAACGTGTATAACAAATACTTACAGATATTATGTAAATTAATAGTGACTCTTTCTATTTAAATGTCGAAATGTTTATAATTTCATTTAAAATCTTATTCTTTACAGGACAGGTTTTAAAGGTCTTCGTGAAGAGTCATAGACATCTGTATTTTGTGGTACACCTTTAACTCTGGTAAGAATTTTATTATGCTTCAGAAATTATAGTGTTTTCCACTATATAACGAAAACATCAAAAGAAGAAAAAGAATTTTTTATTTCTCTTTTTTTCGGTAGGCGAACTATTTCCTACTGTGAGCTAGTGTCTTAAAGCAGCATAAAAATTTGTGGTTTGTAAGTCAGGAGTTAGCAAAAATCCTTTTTTGGACATTCCTTATTTTTTGCTGTTTGCGTAACGATGAACTAACGTTTGGAGCAGTATTCAAACTTCCTAAAGACAAAATTATCCAAAATTCGTTTTGGCCATAATCTATACTTTGTCGGTGGGGTAAAGAAAATTATTACATTGCTTATGATTTATTACAATGATCTAATTTTGGAGGGCAATATTTAACACCGTGCGTAGTGTTTTTAAAAAGTGCTTAAAGGTACTTATTTTCTATTTTCGTTTTTTAAAAGCCCTTAACGGTGCTTTTTTATTAGGTGTTTTTATAAAAGTGCTTAATTTTCCTTTTTCGGAAATGAGAATTTTTTCTTTGCCATGTCGATTTTCGCCACGTATTATGCAAAAGCGTGCTTTTCACATTGTTCGCACATCAACGTTCTAACAGTTCATTCGACCACAATACATTTTGGCTTACATTCAGTTCGTATTAGTGTTTCAAAGATCCAATCATTTTACATCTTTGATAAAATACTTAGGATTCCGCATGTGCGTCTACTGAGATAGGTTCGGTGAGATTGTTGCACTCGCATGTGCAACGCTACTGCATTCTGCAAAATATTCTCAAAGTTCTTGAGATTCTGCGTGAGATTTTTTTGTTCCCATGCATATGAACCGTGGGCTAAGGAAGGGATTATTTCAGTTTTATACATTAGTTTAAGAGCTCTCTGGTTTATGCCCCAGGATTTTGTATTAATTTTATAAAGAGAAGTGAGTTGTCGGTTTGATTTCTCGTTCAAGACTTTAACATGTGAACCCAAGTTTAAGACTCCTATCTAATATCACCCCCAAATATCTGAAATGGTTCTTTTGTGAGATTTTCTGGTTGTTTATTTTGAAGATCGGACCCCTGCTTGAGTAGGAGAAATGGATGAAAATAGATTTGTCTATTGATAAATTGAGATTATTGTTTGTTAGCCAATTTTGAATAATATTGAGTGTGTTGTTGGTGTTAATTTTTAAATCTCTTCTTGAATTTCCAAATGTTAGTAGAATAATATCGTCTGCAAATGCTTGTATAATTTGATTGTTTATGTTTGTACTGAGCAAGCTATTGATTAAGAAATTCCAAGCTATCGGACCTATACACAAACCCTGTGGGAGACCTTTTAGTAATATGTTTTGTCTTGAATCCTTGATTTGTTGATAGAATAGCAATTCTATTTCTGTTGATATCTTCTATCGTGTGACATAAATTTTCAGGAAAATTTGAAGTTGAAATTTCTTTATAAATTAAATTATATTGTATGTAATCAAAAGCGCCTTTAATATCAAGGGAGGTGGCTGTGACATGTTTAAAGTTGTTTTTGAGATGTTTTAGATTATCAGAAAATTTTGTAGTGCATGATTTATAGATTTGCCGAAACGAAAGCCAAATTGTTTGTCTGATAAAATGTTATATTTTTCTATATAATAGTTTATTCTCTTGGTAATAAGTTTTTCCAGAAATTTGCCTAGACAAGGGATTAGTGTAATTGGCCTGTATGATGATAATAGTTTCGGATTTTTATTAGCTTTCGGGTCATTCCATGTCAGTTCATCCAGCCATGGCACCCACCATCTCAGATTGTGATGAAAATTTGTACACTTATAGAATTTTTGATGCTGATTTCAAAAATATCAATTATATTTAAATCAGTTAAGGGGTTAAGTCATTTAAGCACATTTGTTTGCAAATATTTATCTTACTTATTTAGTAAATGGGTCTGTTTTGCAGTTTTTTGATCAACGGAGTTGAGTAACTTCAGGAGCTGATTTCTGACAACTCGCCCCCTTCAATTTCAAAAATATTTTAGGCAAAGATAGTTGAAAGTGCAAACTAAGATCTGATATAAAAATTTTGGTAGGCTGTTCACTCACTTTTTTTAAAAAAATATTTTTCTTATGAATTATTATGCATTAAAAGTACTGGTAGATTGAAGATTTATAGTCCTTAATTGTAATTGTAACTTGAGTATAGTTAAATGATGTAAAAAATTTGAATGGTAGATTATGATGTAAAACAAAGTGATCATTTATTAAATTATATTTTTTCTTCTTCCTTTGAGCCCCCCCCCCTCAAAAAAAAAGAAGAAAGGAAAAAATTTGAAAATGAACAAGACAAACACAATTTCTGCTTCACGAACACAATTTTTGGCCAGGGATTGCTGAAATTTGCAATTTAGCTCTATATGTTTTAGCCTGATCTACACTTATGACATGAAGGGAGACTTTGTTGGTTTTATTGGAAGGATAATTAAATAAGTCGCAACGTTTTTTTATATATATATACAGGGTGTCTATAAAAGAACTCCGGAGATTTAAAAATTCATATCTCACTAACTATAAAAGATAGCAAAATTTAGTCGATTTCTCTGAAAAGAGTAGCTCAAAAAGTTTTACTCATACCAATTGGGAATGTTTGTATCAACTGTTGGCGACGCTGCAGGGCGTTGACCTTGAAATGACGTCGCGAAATTTGAAATGATGGCGACTCCGCAACAAAAGGCTCAATGTGTTATTTGGCTCATAGAAACGAAGTCTTTAGTTACCGTACAAAGAAACTTTCGACGTAACTATGGTGTTAACCCGCCTTCTGACAAAACCATTCGTCAATGGTTCAGTGCATTTAAGGAAACAGGAAGTGTTTTGAAGCAAAAGTCGCCGGGTAGGCCGAGTGTGTCTCAAGAGAAAGTGGACAGAATCCGAGCTTCATGCCTTCGAAGCCCTAAGAAATCGTTGACAAGATGCAGCCTGGAGTTGGGGTTACCAAGATCTCAGGGAACGAATAGTCAATTGTGTGGCA